GGCTGTGGGGTCTCAGTGAGGGGGGCGGGCCGGGGCTGTGGGGTCTCAGTGAGGGGGCGGGCTGCTGGTCGCCTGGGTGAGCTGTACGCCCCTCCTGGGCTTGCACTGCCCTCCCCATGCCCTGGGAAGTCCCTCACCTGTGACTGGCAGCTGGTTCCGTTTCTACCTCTGGCAGGGTGGGCCCGGCAGCTGGGGGGTCTGCAAGGCTGGTGGAGAAACAGGAGTTGGCGGGGTGGGGGGACAGAGGCCAGAGGTCAGGGAGTACTGCAGCCATGCAGGGCCTCCCCTGGGTGCTGGACAGAAAGAGGGGCACTCACACCCACAGCTGCAGGGTGGGGGCCCCAGGGCCAGATTCAGTGGGGGTGGCTGCAGGCAGGGGCTGGACCGGGAGCGACAGCTTTTCAACATGCTCGTGGGGGCAAAACCACAGGGGACCTACAAGCTGGCCATGGCGGCGTCACTAGTGATGCTCAGGGACTGGGGAGCAGGGAGGAGACCCAGGGCCGGCCCCACCCCAGCCACACGGGGCCTTGGAGGAAGGGTGGGGCAGGTGACCTCCTGCAGGCCTAACGCCCCTTCCCTGCCGTCCCCTGCCCCCACCCCTTGGGGGACCTTGCATCCAGCCACCCTGTCTCCAGGGTCTCGGGGTCCCCACCCCCTCCCCAAGCAGTGGGCTCTGGGACCTGGCCCAGGGTCAGCGCCTCCCAAGACACCAGGCGTCCAGATCAACAGGAGGCCATGACTTGCCCCTCACCCTCACACCTGGACACCGGCTGCCACACCAAGCTCCCCTGGCCAGCACTGGGCCTGCGCCTCGGATGGGAGGTGGCAGCTCTCCAACCCAGGGCATTCTCACTCCCGGTTTGAAACCTTTCCCAAACACTCCCCAAAGCCACCGTTTTTCAGTCCTTTGATCTGATGGGGACCAGCTGCCAAGCCTCAGGGGGTGACACCCAACCTATTCTCCTCCCGGGGACGTCACACCTGACCGCAGGGCCAGTGGGGCAGGGGCAGGGGAGGTGCTAGCCGAGGGGCAGCGGGGGGGCCGGCTGAGGGGCAGTGGGGGGGCCACCCGCAGGTCATCCCAGTGCCTCTGTGATGGGAGTCCCAGCAGACCCAGGGCCTCAGCCCCCGTGAGGCAAGCCAGGGCCCGAGCCCCTTCCAGAGCCTCTGGAGACACCTGCGGGGAAGAAAGGCCTCAAGTCCAAGGCAAGGTCTGCTCACGGCCCCGGGGCAGACAGCGCCCATCCTCACGGCTGAGCCGGGAAGCTGGTCCGGGGCCCACCCTGCCTCCTGCTTCACAGCCACGCCAGGCCTGGAGTAACTGCTGTTCAGGTCCAGGCCTCGCAGATGGACGTGGGGGCGGGGCCTGCACCGGGCATTTAGAGGGGTCAGCCGCCCACGTGTCCGGTCCTCAGGCCCCGCTGTCCAGCCAGGTCGGTGGACACGGTTCCTGTCTCCAGTGACCGCAGGAACAAGGCCCTGCACGCTCACCTCCCCGAACGCTAGGCCAGCTGAAGCACTCCCCGGCAGGGCACAGAAACGCCGCCCAGCCATTTCCCACCAAGCGAGTGCACTGGGAGAGAGGGACCTCCAGGCTCCAGAGGCCCCGTGGTGCCAGATGGAGCCCTGCCGGGGCTCAGGGCAGGGCCTTCTACACACCCTGAGCCGCCCTGAGATCATGGGGACGATAAATTCTGGGATGCACAGCTTTTACCGGAAATTCAACACACACACAGGCACACACATGCACACAAGCACACACATGCACACACACATACAGGCACACACATGCACACACACCTACAGGCACACACATGCACACAAGCACACACACGCATGTGCACACAAGCACACATGCACAAACGCACACTCATGCATACATGTGTGCACACGTGCACACACATGTGTGCACACATGCATGCACACACATGCACGTACACATTCATACATGCATGCACATGCACACGCATACACGTACACACATGCACACACACGAACACACATGCACACACATGAATACATGCATGCGCACATACACGCACATGTACACAGACAGGCACATATGCGTGCACACACACATGCAGGCACACACACACATGTGTGCATACATATCACACGCCTGCAAGCGGGCATCGACCACAGGCCCAGCAGGCAGCCCCACTGCAGGTTGCTGGCATCCGCCCCCAACCACCGCACACCTGTGCAAGCTGCAGGAATCCCCCAATTCTAGGGGACACTGGGGACTTCCGTGCTGAACGTCACGGCCATAACTGTCCCTCAAGGTCAGCGGTCTCTGCCACTTTACAGCTGGAACATGGAAGCCTCGGTGGCCAGGACCCCAAAGCCCTGCAGGCCTGACCGGGCAAGCAAAGTGTCCACCGGCTCCCACCCGCAGCCCATCCCTGCCCCTGCATTCAAAGCCTCATAGGATCCCTCATGAGAACCTGAGTTTGGCTCTCACGAGCCCGGACAGGTGGCCAGGCAAGCACAGCTGCTGGGCTGATGTGGCCACGGGGCTCCCAGTCACACCACCTGCCCACGAGGTCCCTGTCGGCACCGGCTGCCCTAGTGCGGTGACCCCACCCAGGGAAGGGGGCCCTCAGACCTCTGCCGTCATCATCCCCACCTCAAGCCTGGGCTGAGAGGCCCCACTCAGAGCGAGAGCCAGCTGTGAGCCCTGCGTCCGTCCAGCCTCTCAGCATGAGTGGGCAAGGGTTTCACTCCTGTGCCTCAGTTTCTCACCTGAACAACAAGGACCCTGAGCGTGTTAAGAAGGGACGGCCAAGGCCAGACGCAGCGGCTCCGGCCTGTCATTCCAGCATTCTAGGAGGCCAAGGAGTTCAAGACCAGCCTGGACAACACAGTGAGACCCCATCTCTACAAAAAAATAAAAAAGAACAGATGAGAGCAGGAACCCCAGAATGTCCTAGGCAGGCAGCACACTTACGGCAGTTTCCTACGAAAGCAATTTGCTGTCATTTCAAGCAATGTTCTGCAAAGCTGAAGCTGATTTAAGTGAAACACACGGCACCTACTACGTGAGGCACGCGTGGGGCCTCTTCTGGGGCGGCCCCAGGCATGCAGGCACAGGCCGGATGGAGGTGGCAGGCCCGGGTCCAGCCAGCGGGCCCAGCTCACCTGTGGGACGGGAGCGCAGCCCCACGTGGGAAGCCCGGCCCAGGGAGACCAGGCAGCCTCGGGGTCCCGGCTCAGAGCAGGACGTTGGCGTATGGTGGGAGCAGCCCCAGGCTGGCGAGGGTTCCTGAACTCCCAGACGAGGCTGGGGCAATCCTGGTGACTGGCCAGACACCCCTCCCTCCCCCACTGCCGGCCACCGGCACCACCACACCCAACGCCACCAGACCTTGCCCTGGCCCTCAGGCATGGCACATTACCCCTCAGGCAAGGCCCCCTGTCGTCCCAGTCCCTGCCCCTCTGCCTGGAGGGGTCAGGAGTGCACCCCCCAACCCCCCCGCTGAGCTCCTATGCCCAAGACGGCTGCTGACAGCACTCAGGGTTGTGGGGAAAGAAACCATGGCTGGGGGAGCCTTCCTCGGGGAAAGGTCAGGCTGAGGAGGGGTCTTCAAGAGCGAGCCTGGGACCTGGCAGGCTGTAGAGAGACACACAGCTCCCCAGGCCTCTGGGGCAGCCCGTCTGAGCCCCAGGACCGCTGCCTGTCTGCTGTGGTGAGCCCCTGCTGCCAACACCCCCTGGCATGGCTGGTCCCCCACTGGGTGATCTTTCCTGCTGGGCAGGGAACTCATGGTGAGGGGTGGGGCCCAGCGCCCTCCAGGGGGTCCTCGAGTCCAGGTGCTCCCCAGAAGGGTCAGGGCAGGTGCCCCCGGGCCCCCCAGCACCCCCAGGGGGCCCATCCCAGCCACCAGGTGTGTGGCTGACGGTGCCCATGCTGAGCCAGCAGCGGGGAGGCCCAGCCAGGACGGCCCCCACGGACGCAGGAGGTGTTTGCAGGACCTCTGGGGGCGCGTGTGCGTCAGCCCCCCGCTGGGAGTGGGCGATAACGGGCGCTGGCTGCAGGATTTTCCGAAGAAAGTGAGGCCTGATAAAGCAGGCCCAGATCCTGTTTGGCCACCGCTGTGCCCGCCGGCAGTGGTGATTAAGGGGCTGGACCGTGGGGTGCAGGCGGGTACAGCGGGGGAGGGCCTGCCACCCTATATAAGGTGCCCAGGACCGGCCATTCAAGCCGCACGGGTGGCAGCAGCGGGCCTGCCCGGCCAGAGCCAACTCTGCCCCATACGCCATGCTCCAGCCCTGGCTGCTGCTTTGCTTCTGCGGGGCCCTGCTCGGTGCTGGTGAGTGCAGTGGGGGGCGCCGGGTGCCACAGGGCCCTCGGCGGGCCCACACGGACACTGATGGACTGAGGCCCCCCTCGGCTCGGTGACCCGCCCCCACTGCCAGGCCCGGGTTCCCCCAGCAGCCTCGGCGCTGGGCTCTGCCATTTGGGGTCAGGGACCCCATGGGTCCTGGACAGGGACGCCCTCCCGTGAGCTGGCACAGTGGCCAGTGGGGGGACGCTCAGGTGCAGTGGGTCCAGAGGTCCCGCAGGCAGAGTGGGCAGGTGTGTGGGTGCCCAGGCCTGGCACTCTCCCTCCCCTTGGCGTGGTCGAGTCTTCAGAGGTCTCTGGAGGGTGGGGGCAGAGGCGCAGTCCCTGCTGCCCTGGGCCTCAGTTTTCCAGTCTACAGAAGTGGGGGACGCTGCCTCCCCTGGTGTGGCCACTGTGGGGGGAAGGGAGGGGAAGGTGTATGGCCTTCTGGGCTCAGGACCTCAGCGGCCAGGCTGCCCTCTCCCCTGCGCTCCCATCCAGCTCAGGGAGGACCCAGGAGAGACCACCATCCTGGATTCTCTGCCGCCCACCCGCCCTGTGGCTGCTGCAGGCGGCCTCCAGCCTGCCCCTGGCCCCCAGAAGGGGCCAGCCCTGAGGGGTCCCTCTGTGGCCACAGCCTGAGGCCTGGGGAGACCCTCTTGCCAACCAAGGCACCAGTCCGGGGGTCCCATGCTCCCCCTTCCTCTCTGAGCTGGCCCCTAACCCTTCTCCATAGCCAGGAGCCTCCGGGGGTGGACGCTGGTGAGATGGAGCTCACCTCGGAGCTGCTGCCAGCCTGGGGCCTCAGGCTCAGAGCGCAGAGGGACCCCCAGGGGTGCCCCACTGCTCCCCCAGGCCCTCCCCAGCCCTTCTCTCCCCTGAAGCCCTTTCCCCACCACCCTTCAACCATGGGGGATGGGGAGGTCTCTGAGCCAGCCCAGCAGTGCCCTCTGCTTGGGACCCCGGCCCCACCTGCATACCTAGGACAGCTTGGGGATAAGTGCCAGGAGTGGAGCTAACCTTGCAGCAGAGCGTGTCCCCAGAGCCAGGGAGGGTGGTGTGGTGGGACCCAGGGAGCCTGGAGGTCTGAGCTGTGGGCACTGCAGAGAGTGGAGGGCCACGTGGGGGTGTCCGCCCATCACCCTGGCAAACGCTCTCTGAGCGCTGTCCCTGTCAGCACGGGAGGGGCCTCGGCCGGCAGAGTGTGGGGTCGGATACCGGGCAGCGGACCTGGGCCTCGGTGGGCTGGGAGGCAGCGGTGGGCGGCCGCCAAGCACGCAGAAGGAACAGTGTGCACCTGCTGCTCATCCAGAGGCTGAGACCGGGGGTGGCGGACCAGCCGGCCCAGAGGCCCATGGCTGGCAGGGACCAGCCAATGGGAAGCGCAGCCGGGGCAGGAATGAAGCCCCCCACTGTGCTCAGAGCTGGGGCAGTGGACTTGGAGCCAATGGACTCAGGGAGCCTCCTGAGGTGGGGCAGGGCAAGGGCAGCGGGGGTCTTGGGGGACACAGCCGTGAGGCAGCTACCTGGGGCAGTGGAGATGGCCTGGCAGGGCCAAGGGCACAGAAACATGGCCTGAGGTGTCTGTGCCGCAGTGGGATCCCCCCCCACCGAGTGCCACCCCATCTGAAAGGTGCAGGAACTGGGCTGAGGTGTCTGTGTATAGAGGGGACCCCCCCCAAGGGCCACTCCCATCTGAAAGGTGCAGGAACTGGGCTGAGGCGTCTGTGTATACAGGGGATCCCCCCTGAGGGCCACCCCATCTGAAAGGTGCAGGAACTGAGCTGAGGTATCTGTGTATAGAGGGGACCCCCCCGAGGGCCACCCCCATCTGAAAGGTACAGGAACTGGACTGAGGTGTCCGTGTATACAGGGGACCCCCCCGAGAGCCACCCCCATCTGAAAGGTGCAGGAACTGGGCTGAGGTGTCTGTGTATAGAGGGGACCCCTCCCGAGGGCCACCCCCATCTGAAAGGTACAGGAACTGGGCTGAGGTGTCTGTGTATACAGGGGACCCCCCCCGAGGGCCACTCCCATCTGAAAGGTGCAGGAACTGGGCTGAGGTGTCTGTGTATACAGGGGACCCCCCTGAGAGCCACCCCCATCTGAAAGGTGCAGGAACTGGGCTGAGGTGTCTGTGTATAGAGGGGACCCCCCCCAAGGGCCACTCTCATCTGAAAGGTGCAGGAACTGGGCTGAGGTGTCTGTGTATACAGGGGATCCCCCCCAAGGGCCACCCCCATCTGAAAGGTACAGGAACTGGGCTGAGGCGTCTGTGTATAGAGGGGACCCCCCCAGTGCCACCCCCATCTGAAAGGTGCAGGAACTGGGCTGAGGTGTCTGTGTATACAGGGGATCCCCCCAAGGGCCACCCCCATCTGAAAGGTGCAGGAACTGAGCTGAGGTGTGTGTGTATTCAGGGGACCCCCCGAGTACCACCCCCTTCTGAAAGGTGCAGGAACTGGGCTGAGGTGTCTGTGTATACAGGGGATCCCCCCGAGGGCCACCCCCATCTGAAAGGTGCAGGAACTGGGCTGAGGTGTCTGTATAGAGGGGACCCCCCCGAGTGCCACCCCCACGTGAAAGGTGCAGGAACTGAGTTGCAGGGGGCCTTGCCCAGGGGAGCCCAGTCACAGCTCTGCAGCCTCCAGAGGTGCTGACCGAGGGGCGGGCAGCCGATTCCTCCTCCCGCCTGGCGCTCTCCCACCCCTCCCCCACCAGACCGAGCATGGCCTGTCCCAGGAACCACGGGGTTCTGTGGCTGAAGGTTCAGTGTGCCACATACTCCCACAGCAGGTGCTTCTGGACCATCCCTGGAAGGAATGGCAAGGGGCTGGGGACCATGTCACCTGCTGGGACCCCCATGAGGGGGATGGGTGATGGGTGGGTGCTCACCAGGCTCAGGGCCCAGCATAAGCCACCTCTACCCCAGTCTAGGGTAAACTCAGTTTACACTGGGGATAAGCCAGGTACAGCCCAGCAGAAAAGGATCTCAAGGTCAAAGGGGACCACAGCCAAATGTGTGTCTCACATAGCCAAGGCCATTAAATCCATTCACTCCTTAAATAACCACAAGCCCCTGCCTGTGCCAGAGAGGACTCACCCAGGCAGCCACGGGGCAGGCAGCCTGGCTCCTCCCTGGACCGTGGGCAACACCACACCACCCCCCAGCTGACAGACCCCTGCCCCTGCGTCACCAGAGACACAGGTAGCCAGCAGTAATGTGGGCAGCATTGAGTCCCAGAAGGTGGGCAGATCCTGCGGTGGGGCACAGGTGGGGCGTGTCAGGAACAGGACCTCTGAGCTGCACCTGGAGGGAGGCAGTGGGTGCCCTGCTAACCGATGTGCAAGGAGGGCCCTGGCCTCTGAGAAGGGTCTGGAGAGGTCACGGATCCTGCTCACGTCCCCCACCAGCATTCAGGCATCGGGGGCCCACGGGAGCCACAGATAAGGCCACAGTCCCAGAGCCAGGGGCCAGGGAGTTACCCAGAGGTGGGAGAAACCTCCCTCTGGGCAAAGGGGGTGGGACCTGGGGGGGTGTCAGCCCCGCTCCAGTGTCCAGGGTCAGGGTGAGGCATCTCCCTCAGCCCTGCCCTGGGGTCACCGTGACCCGGCTGTCTGGACATTCCTGTGGCAGCCATGGCCTCAGTGCCAGAACTGACACCGGAGCTGACGTGCAGGAAAGTGCCCGTGTTTAGAGCCCCGGAGCCACTGGGAGCAGGGAAAACCGGCTGTGGGGCCTGGCCTGGACCCCACGGGAAGCAGACCCCTCAGGGAAAGCAGGCGGCCAAGCTGGGGAGGTGGGCACAGCCCGCTGTCAGCTCAGCTCTCAAGCCCCTGCCACGCACACCAGCCCCTCCTTGCCCTGCCCGGGAGGCCCCAGCCGTGAGTGCCCTGTACACGGGGTGCCCGTCACCTGCCGCACCCCGAGGGTCTGACGGCACAGGCTGAACTGGGGATCAGCGGACGAATGAGGAAGTGAACGGGAGCAGGGCAGGAAGCTGGGGCTCGTGAAGGACGACAGGGGAGGCCAAGCGCGTGGCCTGCTGTTGAGGCCTTGAGCCCCTCACCGACTGCGGTCCCGTCCTCACAGGTCTGCCCGATGCCTACGCCAGCCCAGGCCCCCAGAGGCCGAAGGACTCTCCACAGACAGGTAAGAGGACAGCGGCCACTGGCCCTGCACCCAGACCACCCACCACCCAGGCCCAGGGTGCAGGAGAGAGGGACCCGCAGCCCAGGTCAACCCAAGACACACACACCCAACACACACACACACACACACACACACACACACACACGCTGCCCAGACCACCCAGGCCCGGTATGCAGGAGAGAGGGACCTGGAGTCCAGGCCATCCCCAAGACACACAGAACCCAACACACACACACACACACGCACACACCCAACACACAGGACCAGCACACACACCTGACATACACATGCACACACACCCAACACAGCCCAATACACACTGTACACACACCCAACACCCATGCACACACATCTAACACACACATCCCAGATATGTAAAGATACACACACAACATGCACAACGTACACATGCTCACATGCCCAACACACTCTACACACACATGCACCCCATATACACACCCTACACACACACCTGAGATACACAAACCCATCACACGCACACAAGTCACATACACCCAACACGCACATACACATCGCACACATCTACACAGCCCCACACACACACCCCCAATGCCCACAGACACACCTCACACACACGTATGCACACCCGACACACCTATGTGTACACACACAACACACATGTACACACAACACACACGTACACACTGCACACAGGTACGCACATATTTACACATACATTTACACACACATGTACACACACACGTGTGTACATGTGCCCACGGCGGTGCTGACTCCTGCTCAGGAATATGCCACACCACTTGGGTTCACTCGGATGCCCACGTCTGGGGTTCCCACAGCCTGGTCCCAACTCAAAACCCTAGCCAGGGAGACGCGTGAGCTCTGCCCTGCCCTAGCTCTGCCCTAGCCCTGCCCTAGTCTGGCCCTGCCCTGCCCTGCCCTGCCCTGCCCTGCCCTGTCCTAGCGCTGCCTGGCCAGACTGGTGGGGACCCCGGGCTTTGAGTCGGCCTCGCTCTCTCCGCAGCCCCGGACAAAGGCCGCTGCTCCACGTGGGGGGCCGGGCACTTCTCCACCTTCGACCACCATGTGTATGACTTCTCGGGGACGTGCAACTACGTGTTTGCGGCCACCTGCAAGGACGCCTTCCCCACCTTCAGCGTCCAGCTGCGGCGAGGCCTAGACGGAAGCATCGCACGGATCATCGTGGAGCTGGGGGCCTCTGTGGTCACCGTGAGCGAAGGCACCATCTCGGTCAAGGACATCGGGTAGGCCAGGCGGGCTGCAGCCCAGGTCCCAGGGGTCGGGGGCTGGAGGACAGAGGGCTGACCACCGACGGCCCTGGCCCCACAGGGTCATCAGCCCACCCTACACCAGCAACGGGCTCCAGATCACACCCTTTGGCCAGAGCATGCGGCTGGTGGCCAGGCAGCTGGAGCTGGAGCTGGAGGTCATGTGGGGCCCCGACGCCCACCTCATGGTGAGGACGGGGGTCCAGGGTGCACCTGGGGCCCACGGCACCGGGGGGCAGGTGGGACTCAGGAGGGGCTCCCCTCCTTGGGAGTCCCGGCCAGCCCTGGGCAGCCAGGCACTGCGCGCCAAGTCGTGCGGACCCCTGGCCAGCAACCTGAGCCAGGACTGGGTTTTGTGGGTGACTCAGCTTGTCCACTGGAAAATGAGGCTCCCATGAGAAGAAGCAGGTTCAAGAGGCAGCACCTGCAGACAAGCAGGGTGGGGGGTGGGGGCTCTGCGTCCACAGCAGGAGTTGGGAGTCCCCCACGGCAGGCGAGGTCCACTGGCCCCCGCACCCAGCAGAGCTGCCTCCCGCAGGTCCTGGTGGAGCAGAAGTACATGGGCCAGATGTGTGGGCTCTGCGGGAACTTTGACGGGAAGGCAACCAATGAGTTCATCAGTGAGGAGGGTAGGTGGGGGGCAGGTCTGGGGGGGCCTCTAGGTGGGGGTCAGGGCTGAGGGGACCTCTGTTCTAAGCAAGGGGGGTAGGTGGGGGCCAGGGCGGGGGGCTTCTATATGGGGCCAGGGTGGGAGGGAGCCTCTGGGTGAGGGGCAGGGCTGGGGGTGCCTCTGTTCTGAGCAAGGAGGGTAGGTGGGGTATGGGGCTGGGGGGCCTTTAGGTGGGGGGAGCCCCTGGGGCCCGGCCCCCATGGTGCTGACCCCTGTCCTGCACCCCCAGGCAAGCTCCTGGAACCCCACAAGTTTGCTGCCCTCCAGAAGCTGGATGACCCCAGCGAGATCTGTGCCTTCGAGGCCATCCCCAGCCCCCCGGTCCGGCAGGCCCAGCACGTAAGCGAGGGGGCTCCAGGGGGGCTCATCCCGGGTCTGACAAGGTCTCCGAGGCCACCAAGGCCCCGACAAGCAGCCCTATCACAGACGCCCTGTCCCAACCTCCCGGGCATGGTGGCGAGGGGTGTGGCCTTCACGCCTGTGACCCCGAGTGCCCCCCAGGCCCGGATCTGCACCCAGCTGGTGACCTTGGTGGCCCCCGAGTGCAGCGTGCCCAAGGAGCCCTTCGTGCTGAGCTGCCAGGCAGACATGGCGGCGGCCACCCAGCCAGGCCCGGGGAACAGCAGCTGCGCCACGCTCTCCGAATACTCCCGCCAGTGCAGCATGGAGCGGCAGCCCGTCCGCCGCTGGCGGGGCCCCAGCCTCTGCCGTGAGTTCTGGGAAGGGCTTGGGGACGGCAAGGCCAAGGGCTCAGACGCAGCTCTCCTGGCCCCAGAACCCCTGACGCGACGCCCACATCCCCCCTCATCTGAGAGGCAGGAGATCCCAGTGGCAGCTTCTGGATGGAGGAGGGGCTGGGCTAAGTCCTCTCCCGAGCCAGGGTGGGCAGGGAGGGGCAGGGCTGGTGGGACCATGTCACCGGAGCCTCCTGTGCCCGCAGCCGTGGGTCAGTGCCCGGCCAACCAGGTGTACGAGGAGTGCGGCTCAGCCTGCGTGAAGACCTGCTCCAACCCCCAGCACAGCTGCTCCAGCACCTGCACCTTCGGCTGCTTCTGCCCGGAAGGTGAGGGTGGTCGGGGGCACTCACTCCCCCCGGGACCCCTGGGGAGGTCCTGGGGACAAGGGGGTGGCAGACCCCCGCCACCCCGACCCGTCTCACTCCAACATTCCACCGTCTGAGTCCCAGCTCCAGGCCTTCTTGCCTTGGGTGAGCCCTTCCCCTCCCACTCCCCGTCACTCCCTCCCACTCCCCTCCCCCCACACTCCCCCTCCCCC